TGTATTCTGGTTTACATTGGCATGTGTGCATCAGTAAGTACCCCTCCTTTCAAACTACAGAGTAGTGTACCACTTGTGACTCTGGTTTAGTATTTATAAAATCAGATTTCTGATTACAAATCCTGAAAAAGTTAAAAAAAAAAAGACACAAACCACATTGAAACTTTGTATTTCAGACTGGGTGTAAAATATTGTACTATTACTGCAAGTTATTATCCAAAATCAAATCATTACAAACCCAAGAAAATCAAAGTAATGGTATTTTAAAGAACTGAACTAGATTAATACTTAATACTCCCTTCAACAGTAATAACCTCCAAGACTTCCAAATAAAGAAATCCTGTTATTTTCATGACACAAGGCAGTGTTGAGCCAGCTAAGGTACTGCAAAGCCTCACAGCTGTTAGGCCAGACTTCTCACTAATCCGTACCTGGGACTCCTCAAGGCTACTCCTTCCTGGGTTTCTGGCTTCTGCGACCCACAGAAGTCAAGGTGATGCCTTAGCACAGCACCAATTTAGGCAGCAGCAATTTTCAGAGATTCCAGTGATGGGCAGTAGCAAAAAATAAGAATAAAAGGATCAGTAATTTGCTCTTATACTACTCATACAGTCGCTCAGTCTTACTTCCACCTTAATGTAGTTTGGGAAAGGAAATATAACTAAATACTTATAATCCCACAGATGTGTAACATTTTTTAAAACCTATATACATTGGGGAAAAAAACCCCAACAATTTACAAAGCTTTTACCATTTACAATATTGGTAACATTTGCCTTTTTAAAGGGTGTGCCATTTCTGTTTCTATTTGTAAGCCAATTGAAATGCACATTTTTCTTGCATTGCTAGCAGTTTACCAAAAAATAATAGGTAAACAAAGGATTAGTCTTATATTTTATATTCATTACAGTATTTTATATTTTATACTCATTTCAGTGTACTTGCCTAATCTTTCTCTGTTTCAGATGGATCAGGATTCTGTTACAGCATGAGGGCATCGGTTACTCCTGACTTTCATCACACTTACAAAATAGGTAAGTTGTGAAAACAGTGGCTGTGCGTAGACTGCACTTTCCTGTGACCACTCTACAAGTTCTGCACTTGTCCTCCCATTCCTCTAGAGGCAATGAAAGAGTAGAGGTAGGGTTATTTAATGACCAGCTAAAACTTTTATGGTCTGCAAAGAGATCTGTGGTGCAATTATTTTAGAGTAATTCAGTTTCTTCTAGCTTCATGTACCCAATAAGGAATTAACTTAAGACATACAACAATAACTATAAACATGCAATCTTTAAGGAGATAAAGATGTAGACATCAAATATCAGATTGTGTAAGTGAAGCAAAACAGAACACTGTTAGAAAAGCCTAACAGTGAGCTTCATTAAGAGTTAGGTGAGAATACATTTACTGGACATTTAGCTAAGCATCCAGTGGGAATTATTTCTGTCATAATAAACTACCTATAAGTTATCATTTTCTTTATTTAAATAACAGGGCATTTCAGACATAATTTGAATAAAGGTTTTTCTTTTGTGTTTCTTTAACCTAAAAGTTATATTTCATCATGTTTAGGGAGTGTGGGCATGGAATGGGCTGAAAAGAGAGATATGTAACACACAAAGTGACTCTAGGATGGAAAAAGAATCATAGAACAAACATCACTCAAGATGGCAATACTGGGATCATTTCCATAATGCACAATCAAAGCAAAATTATTAAATATTTGGGTTTTTTTTAAATAAAATGCGAGTCTGTTTTTCTGTCAGTCTAAAATATTATTTTCAAATGTCTGAATCCTAATTAAAAAGAAATCTACAATAAAAGTAGAATATCCCTTTTCCTGTGTTCACTTATGCCACGACAATCTATGAACTTTTTAACAAGAAAACTACATAGGTGTTTCATAAGATTATAACTGAAATGCACCAAGTTCTTTTAACCCTATTCCTTAAAAAAATCTATTTAAAAGATAGCTGTGAAGACCCAATACGTAAAACCAGTTGTCTGAAGATTACATTGGTGGCATTTATATTGACGTAAGAAGCACGGTGAAGCCTTTATGTTCTCTGCAAAGAGCATTGCCTCTCTTTTGGTGTCAGTGCCAGCTGAAGTTGCTCCAACTCCCTGTCATATATTATTCCCCACGCACACTCAGTTGTGGTAGCACTTCTCTCTGTGACGGGGCAGTGGACCTGACTTGAGAATTGATCCCGGTTGAAAGAAACTTACTTTCTTGATAAATTGTTTCTAACTCTAATGATTCCTGGGACAGGGCTCTGGCTTGCCCAAGCAGTCCCATCAATGTCACTGCGGGGGTGGAAATGAGATGGGACCGCTTAAACTCATATTGCTCTTTCAGTTACACTTTCAACTTCTCTTTACAGAACTTCTGACTTTGCCCACCAAGGCCAAAAAACAATAAAAAAGTAACCACTACTGAATCATTGATACCTTGTTGACACTGCAGGACACAGTATCAGGCTGGACATTTCAGGTTAGAGAGAAAAGACGACCCAGGCAGTCATTCTGATGGCAGCAAAGTGCCTGGATTTCAAATATGCGTTCAGTACCATCTTTACAATGTAAATTTACAATGTAAATTAGGACAATCATAAAGAATCCTGACCTGTGCAGTCTTCTTATGGATTACTTTCGATCTTAGCATTTGAAATTAAATGGTTTCATATCAGGGATTGATACCAATTGAATTAGAACCATTTTAGAATTATTTTAGTCAAAATAACACCTTTTTGTAGCTAAGGTCATTTTGGCCTCAGCTAACTAAGATAGTGCCTCAACCCTACCACATTAAGAGCTCAACGCTTCCTCTTCACTGCCCTGCTCTTCCAGCCCAGCAGCCCTGTGGCCGGGCTAAACCCCAGCAGAAGGCAGCCCACTCGAGCTGAAGCTGGTTAGTTGTCTTTGTATCACCAAGGACTAAATCCCTCTGGCAGTTGACTCACTCCTCTGATACATTTCATTAAATTATCAGAGAGAAGAGTAATAAAGTCTTAGTTAAACATTTCAGCGCTGCTTATGACTTACTTGAAAACTAATAGAAAATAACTGCTTTTCCAAATTCACACTGTAAGAGTTCCATGGAAATTCTCAGCTTGTTTATAAATAACTCATTCCAGTAGTTTCCGTTATTTAACACACTCATACGAACTTGCTTCCTGTTTGTAATCAGACTTCTACCTTCCAAAATATTTTTGAGGTTCTACTAGTATCACAACAGCTACTTTTGGTTTTTTGAATATACTAAACAGAGACGGATTTTTTTCCAAAAGCTTCAGCAGAGTTATTCTCAGTAGTTTGATACTTAGTTGCTCATTTGATTATCTCATTATTCTATCAAATATTTTCTAATTCAGCAGAGGTTTTCTAGTAAAGCACATCTTTTGATGAACAGGCACAACAATTTTGTACCTAACGGGTTAGCTGTCAAACCAGGTGGTTATTAATCATGGGAAAAGAAACTCCTATTTAAAACCCTGAAAAAACACATAAAATATATGCAACAAACAAAAGGAGGGAAACGGAACTCAAAACAGGAAGGGGGTGTTGTTCAACATTTCAACAAAGGAAATGTAGGATTAAAACTGAAAACTTGCATAAGCAATATGGACACTAAAAAATTTGTATTCTTTGTACTAGATTATGAATTTGATGGCTGTGTTAAATAATTTCTGTCAGGCAAATTAGAAAACAAATGCTTAGACGCAAAAACCTTTGCAAATAAATATAATTCGTCTTTCATGAAGTCAAAGATAAGAGTTATTTGGCTTTTTTAAACACAGGAAATCAATATCTAGGTTCTGTTCACCCCATGAATAGGACTGAGTATTTGACCTATATGTATTACCAACCCTGACACACACATCCTCCAATTCTTCAATCACAATGAGTCACGTGAAATTAACTTAGGTTTTTCATTCTTATTTAGCACACTACTGAATAGTTTCTCACAGAAAAAAACCACCAAACACTAAACAAATCAAAACCAACCCAAAAAAACCAAACATAAAAATGGGTAAATACACAACTTTAGAATGTAAGTGGACTGACGTATAGATAGGAAATTCAAATTTACTTTGTAAAATACTGGACAGCAGGAAGACATATGGTGTTAAAACACCACTAGTAACAGACTTCAGGGCCCAAGCATTTATGACATTTTGGTATTATCAAAACTGAGAATGTGAACCTTATACTTCCTGGAACAAGAACTGCTGAAACGCACAGTGAAACCCAACATGACTCACGCCATCTGAGCGCACCCCGGAGCACGGGGACACACGCACGTCACTCCTGCTCCTTATCTCTCGGCAATTTCTGATTTATTTAGCCGAATGAACGCAAAATACAATGTCAGACTTCAAAAAAAGAAAAAAATAATAGATCATATTAGAAATAACTGATGTAAGGCGTGTGCTTTCAGTAAGTAGAATTTAAAACCGAGCTGAGGCGGGGCGGCCCTGCCGCTGGCTGTCCCGCCGGCTGCTCCCCCAGCAAGGTTCCGTGTACCTCACTACTCCGGTACCGCCGAGGGGACGACAGCCGGCTCCCCCTTCCTGAGGGCGACCGGGGGACAGCGCCCGCCTCGCCTGGACCGGGCTGCGCGCGGAGGCCGCTCCGCTGCGGGCCAGCGCGGCCCAGCCCACCTCCCTTATCGCCGGCGTGGGGACCGCACCCCTGCTATCGCACCCCTCGAGTGCGAACCGCGTCCGGGGAGCGGGGCCGTCCCCTCGCCCGCCGCTGAGGGCGCCCTGGGCCGAGCCGCCATTGCTCGGCGCCGCAGCCGACTCCGCACTGCCTCTGCCCGCTGAACACACCCCCCCGGCCTGAGGGGAGGGCCCCCCCCTTCACACCAGGTGGCTCGTCCCGCCCCCCAGCCAATGAGAGGCGCTGCCGGCAGCCCCGCGGCGACGGTTGGCCAGCCAGCCGGCCGTTGAGCGCCCTGTAGCCAATCGGCGACGCCGCCTAACCCCCCGGCTCCTCCCCCCTCCGCGGCCGCTGGGGCTGGGAGTCGCCGCAGACGCCATTTCCTCAGCGCCCCCGCGGCGGCGCGGCTGCATCAGCGCTGACGTGAGGCCGACGTGCGGCTCCGCCCGGCCCAATCCCCCCCTCCCACCCCCTGTGACGGGGGCAGCACGTACAGGGCGGCGGGTGAGTGCGGGAGGGGGCGGGGACACGTGTGCGCGCAGCCCGACCCCCCACGGGCCGGGAGCGGGGCAGCGCAGCGGGCGGCGGCCGGACCCGGCGGTGCGGCGGGGAGGGCAGAGCAGAGTAGGGCCGGGGGGCGCTGTGCCGCT